ATTTTCTCACTTATATTTTGTTCAACTTGCCTGTTTCTATATAATGTTAGACTCCAAACTCACTCTAACACTGTCTCCCTCAAATAGTTTTTTTACATAACGTGGAACTCCAAATTCATGCCTGAACTCAAACAGTATTTATGATTGTTTCCCAACAATCTCCCAGATAAAATAAGACATATTTAGTTTTCATAACTTCGGTCTTGGTACATTCAATTTGATCATTTACCTCGTTGGATCCCAACAACAAATAAATTGCCAATATAAAAACGGTTCAAGTTCTAATAAATCACTACCAAAACTTGTGACAGAATACATTAGATTAGTTATTGCTTAGCAAATGAAAATAATCATTAATTCAAATAAATGTAGACATCTATTCATTTGGAGAAAGTACCAAAAGACATGAACAATTGGTTATAAACAAAACTGGAGGACCATAGGAGGGTAGGTTACCACCTGCAATTCTCTATGTAGAAGTTTCTCTATAACATTGAAGGAATCCACAATTTCCAACTCAGACATTTTAGATACAAGTTGTTGCATATCAGTTTTCATTCTTGAATGCCTCCACAATCTATCTTGTTCCCGTTCAGCTACAGCACGCCTCCTCTGAAACCAAGGCATGAAGTTGGGTCCATTCAGGAACCGCCTGATAAGAACATTCATACGAACCATAAATAAAAAATCTAATAAGTGAAGTCTGAGGAACTAAAATTTTAGAGGAAGATCACTCTGTAAAATACTATATAATACTGAGAGGTAGGTAGCAAAATTTAATATAAAAAACTATTGCAAATAAAATTCATTACCTGTAGAAGTTGAGCCAGTTAGACTTCATTCTCTTCAAAATGAACTTCCCTGGACCTCTGGTTGATAAACTTGAAAGAAATTCATCAGCACTAAATGGAGGCAAAGATGGAGGATCAACATAAGGAGAAGATCCTTCCAATGGAGCTGTGATCCTAAAATATGGACCAAAAGGGGCCAAGAAATTAGTTGTGAGCTCCAAGAAATGCCGCCGTAATATCTCATTGTTAACAACTGACATTGATTCCTCAACTCTTGGTGACATGCCTGCATCTACAAGCCTATTTAAAATAGAGGTTTCGGGCTTAGTTATGGCAGAATATGTAGTCCAAATGGCTTCCTTATGTTCTGTCATGAGACAAAGAGGACCATCTCTCCGCAGCTTAATTGCATTCAGTAAACTTGAAGGAGAAAACTTCTGTAGGCTCTGTAGGGAAAGTTGTTGAAGCCCACCATCAGGTCTACCAGAAACTTTGCCAGCAGAAGACCTAGTTGAAAGGGCAACCCTATTTGAACTAGGATGGAGACTTCCAACTGAAACAATGTGGGGGATTTTCCGGAGAGCCTTAAGGAAGAAAAGATTTGTCACCCCTAAAACCATTGGGGGGATGGTTTCCCCTTCCCGAATTGAGTTCAAGTGTGAAAACTCAGGATCATGAATGGTAAAATAAGGCCGGAAGTCAACACTACAAAGTAATGGTGCAATCAAACTCACAAGACTGGCAACGGCCTCACAACACTGGGAAGGGGTTGGTGCAATGATCAGAATTGGTTCACCAATGACTAACAACTCCCATAACAACCAAAGCTGCAATAAGATGCCACGGAAAGCACCAAAAATATCTGCATCATGAAAAAGGCCCTGTGGAATAGACTGATTACTAGGAAGTAAAGGTGCCACAGGAGAAGCAGACTCATCAAAAGATAATCCATTTTCCAAAGGCAAGCAGTGAACAGGTGGCAAGTTCACTTTAAGGGTCTCATTCCCAATCGGAAGATCCATTAGCTTTCCAGGAACAGGAGCAGGCCATGCTGAAACATAAGCTGCAATATGCTCCAGTGCTACCTTACCAAAGTCAAAATATAAGGGACCTATAATCTGTAATAAAGGTCTAAACACACTTGAATAAGGACTGTGGGACAAAACAACCACAGACTTCTGCTCCCCTCCTCGCTTTAGCCTCTCATCATGTATCTGTCTATTAAAGACAAAACCATACATGTATTTAGAAACATTAGCACTGCTTGTACTGGATATTTCTTCACTGACATTGTTTTTATTTGGAGAAAAGTCCTTGTCAAGTTCATTGGATTGAGATTTGAGGTGCCTACGAATTCGGAAAAAGAAGATACAATCATGAATGCTTGAGCGGTTTTGTTGCTGGGAAATGGAATCCGGAAACGAACTATATGCAATCTCCAGCTCTTCATCATTCGTAAGACAGCCAGGCGGATAACATACTTCTACAAGCTGGCCCTGTTCAAGATCAAACCTTATAGCACAAAAGCCAACTATCCATCTCTGTAAAGACTCAGGATCAAGACTGGGAAGATGTTCTTCTCTGACTTTAAAGGAAGGAGACCTACTCATATCCAATAAAAATACTAATAATGCATACTTTCATTGATCAATATGCCACTGACACCACCTCTGGCAACTACTTCCTGCTAGAAAACCAGCAGCATCTTCATTGATCAAAGAAGTTCAACTCAACTTTACAGATAACTCATAAGCCTGAGAAACAAATATATATGATTCTGTTAGGAGGATCACTAACAACAAAGAAGGATGAAGTGTACCTCATCGCATAGAAGAAACCAAGAAAGAAAGATAGCAAAATCAGAAAGTCTAGTTCAAACAACCATGCTCAACTACTTGTGTTACTTTGACTAAGAACCAAACAAGTTTTCAGAACAAAAGCTTAAGCAAGATCTAGAATTATACATAGTTCCCTTCATTTCCTCGGCAATCAAAGCTAGTAACCAAAATCATCGTATGAATGTAACAATTTCAATCTCAACAAGATCCATCAAATGGGTACCTGAAGATAGGAGTCAGGAACCACGACACAGTTCCTAGCAGGAAACCATCTGGTCAGCAACAAAAGAAAACCAGATTGATCGAAAATCTCCCAGAAAATCAAACAAAGTTGAGAGCTTTAGGCCCCGTGCTTGGTCCCAGTAACTATGGCTTCAAATTCAACAACTTTCTGTGCTCAGGGCAATGGGTATCCAAATCAATAATGAGTTCCTAAAGAAAAAAGACATATCTGCAACAAATTTTTCATTTGTTGTTAAATAAGTGGAAATAGTATTGCAAGTTGTGTAAATATTTGAAATTGAAAATACTGCCCCCTCACCAAAATAAATGATTTTAATATTAAATTATGTTGGGTTGTGAATGAGAGATTTCTCGTTTTATGCAGAACCAACAGAATCATTTGAAAAGTTTTTAGTATGTCTTTGTAATTTATAAGTTACAATTATACCTCTGAACTTATGAACTATAATTAAGTTAAATTATTCTATTAATCTTAACAGTTCTCTTGCCTAGTATTTTTTTTTTCTAATTGAGTTATATGCAATTTTGTTATGAGATTTTGAAATCCTTAAAATTATCACATTATATTTTTAATGATTTCAAACTGCTACAAATTAATCACTCACATTTATGTTTAAAAATCTAATTTGAAAACTGATTTAAAGTATCCCATTCGTCTTAACATAGGTTTAAAGTATTTTACTCCCTGACTCCACAATATTTTTGTGCACCCCTCAAATTTTTGAAATGACTATTTTATCTTTTTAAAAAGTAACTTCCAGATTATATATTTTGTAAGCTTTGTACAACAAGCTTTCTAGAATTTTAGAACAATAGTTTCAGAACAAAATTTTCAAAACGTGATTTCTGAAGTAAAATTTTTGGAACGTATGAAATGTATTTTGAAATAAATTTTTTGGAATGAAATTTTCAAAAAGAACTTTCTGAAACTCATAAAATGCTTTCAGGAATGAGTTTTCTAAAATACTCAAAACAAAACTTTTTGAAATAAGTTTTTTTTTTCTGCAGCGGTGTTCTTAAGTAACGGTGCGGCGGCGGTGGAAGTAGTAACAGCGCTGGTGTGATGTGGGCTTTTCCTAATATTATAAGGGTGTAGTTAGTAACTGTGGAGTGCAAGAAGCAATAGCCGTATTTGTATGTCTATTTAGATAATAAAATAGGTGAATCAATTGTAACGGTATAACACTTATAAACACTTGTAGAATAGAAGAATAGTTAAAGTAATATAAGCTAAATCAACCGGTTCTAATAAAAAAAATCAACTGATTTTTTATATGCACACTATAGTTTTTCTTTTTTACAGAAAAAAAAATTGGAATTGGTTTGTCACTGCATGGGATCCTGTGGGTTAAATTTTTAAACACTGAAATTTAAAACAAATATCCTTAAGTACCTCTAAAAGTGAAAATTAAAACAGAATAAACTTGTATAGAATTAAAAACCAAATTTTGAGTGAACTAATGAAGAATAACTATTGTAAATTCGTGTAGTTCTAAATTAATTTTAATTTATGAAATAATTACTTTTCTTTTCTTTTAAAAGCGTTTATGGAGAAATTTCTGCAATTATGATAAAGAAACATGGTTGCTGGTCATAAAAAAAGTATTGTTGCACAAAACAATACTCTTTTAGACTTTTTACAAAACCTAATTAACGAGGTTAGAGATATTAATTTAATAAGAAACATTACTTTTCTCCTAAATTTATGCTTTAAAATTATATTTAACATTATTCCTTTTCAAATATTGTATTAGCTTTAATTTTTTATTTTCAAACATTACTTTTCTCATTGTTAATATATTTATTCTTTAATTACTATTATGCGAATAGTCAATATAAGATTCTCAATGTTTTTGTACTGTACAAATCCAAACCACACTTTTAATTTGGTTCTGATAAACAGAACCGGAAAAAGAAATTCTGATTGAAGCAACTAGAAAAGAAGATTGGTGATGAAAATATCAAACTTTCTACATTATTACAATTCAACATCATGTTTCACAATCACTTCGAGATATCAACATATTGTTTCATGATAGTTACTAAATTACCTGTATTTTCAAACGTTTTCGGGCACGCATTTAACCTTAGAAAATGATTCAAAAGGAAAGAATCGGTGCTCAGCTACTATAATTCAACACTCATCACACTCATTTGTAAAGCCTGTAAAAAGCTAGAGTATATATATACAAATTACAGAAGGGAGTGAATGCAAAACAAATTAAATTCAAAAGTGGGATGCTCTATTCTTCTTCCTATCATTTTGATGTTGTATTAGACAGTGAGCAAGTTGGCGTCCAATATTATCATCGCCAAAACTGCACCAAGGATTGATTCACTCAGTTAAAACATGTTATCTAGCCCCTTTCTCTATGGTCTCTTAAAAAAAAAAAAGAACCATGTTAACATCTAAACATCATAAACAGGCAGACGCTCGGCAATAGAGTCACGGCAAATCGGGCACTTCTTACACTTCTCTGAGCAAGTGCTGCAATAACACAAATCAAGCATAAGGCCAAAACTATTTTGACCAAGAAAATGGAAGAAAAATAAAATATTATGTAATGATGCATTAAGTGGCCTTATTGACCATCACATATTTGATCTCACCTGCAAAGAACGCGATGCCTGCATGGGAGCAATACAACGTTAATCTCTCCCTCAAAACAAATTCTGCACAACACTTTCTCCTGTTGCACACAACATAAAATTGGTCAAATGAAATTTCAATTGGTCTAACCATGCCAGTGATGACAGCAATCGGAAACTTCATTTTAAGCAGTTGAATGGGCTAGAACTCATTGAAAATTGTTGTCACCAAATCAAAACAATGTGTGAGGTTAGGTACTATATTGGTGCGACTGACACAAACAAACACATAATTGCTGCTTCACTTTTATGACATAGCAATGACAGTATATTTGATTATTACGTTCACAGGCTATTCATAGTTCCACTGTATTCAAAAGACTGACAGACATTGATTTACAACATCAGATATCAGAACAGGGTCCATGCATAAACAATATTCTAACTGAATGATACCCGATATATCATTGCCCTTGTGGATGGCCTCTAAATGCATCGTATAAGGAACTATGGAAATACACAGCATAAGCACACGACTAACTATATTACTCATTAGGTTAGCTGTTTTACATTTTGAAGTCTTTCATACTCCTGTTGGCTGAATTTTGTGATTTCAGTCTGTTCACCAAGAGCTGCCTGGAGTCTCCAAACCTGTCATTCGAAAACTATAAGCATCCTAATGAAGGAAATCAGAGTTACAGACATACTGAGAATTTTTAAGCCTAATATTGAACAATGAACACAACATAAGGAAGTAAGAGCTAAGCAGATTATAAATTTATATCTATATTATAAAGAACATACCACACAAGGTCATGTTCATCTATACACCTATACACGTAGACCTGAACATACTTCATTATAAATTTATATCTATATTATAAGAATTGCCATTACCTCCTCAGCAAGTTCCTTTTTTGGCATTTTCTTAACAATCTCAGGAGGATAACCACAGAACGTATTATACCTGTTTCAGTACGAAGCCAAATGTACAAAGATCATTAGAAACAACTACAAGATGAACATATAGCAAAAAAATTGAAAATAGCTTAACGTATCTTAATACACGAGAGAAGAGGTAAAAAAGATGTCTTCATATAGTACTTGTGTTGTAAACAAGCTCAAATGCCAAACAGAAAAAGAATAAGAAAAAACAGGAACCTATTTTGGTACTTAAAGATTAAACATCAGCTTAATTTGATTATCTTATGTTAAGAGAATCACTTGAGCACTTAATTGATTCATTTATTAAAATTTGGTTTTTACATTAGAATTCCATGCACCCTGAAAATGAAGGGCAGAACTCAAAAAAAGTTAAATAAAATAATAATTCTGACCAATAAAAGAATACTTCAATGGAAATTGAGAAAATGGGTAAGTGCGTATCTTTGAAGGACCAAAATGGCACCTTTCTGAAAATTAAACATTCACAAGCAAGGCACATGAATTATCAAGAGACATTGCAGTGAATATGTATGAGAGAGAATATAACATTCTTTGTGGTATGATACACACCAAGGTTTGTAATAAAATGAATGATGCTTACCCAGATGCTCCCTCATGGTATATTCGTGCTTGTTCTTCCCGACTCCCTTCGTCAATTGACCACCAACCCAACAATCTGATGCATCAATTGTCAGAATTTAGATGCAGTGCCAGTACAGTACACGCAAATGGTATATCAACAAGATCACAGCTTCCCTTTTAGAAAACTAAAACCCCAAATTAGATGTATTACCTCCGATAAAAATAGAGGTAAAAATAATGATAAGTATTCAGATTACTCCCTTGAGGTTTGAGATATTATGCTCATTTTGTGCACTGAACTAACCAGAGCATCTTTATGAAATACTTGACCCCAATTTATATTGGATTTGCATTTAATAGTGGCAAAAATAATAATAGATGAAAGACATACATTCAATCTGTGAACCAAACCGATAAGAACATCTAGTTTAGCAAATTCCACATAAAACGTCCCAAATTAAGAAGTGTAGAACAGTCTGTTGCTTCTATTGGTTCAGTACATGCCATATTTTATCTACCAATTAGAGTATTTTTACTCTATCTGATGTACTTTTTACTGTTTCTACCATGTCCAGCGGCAGTATAGCTTTATCCTTTTATTGTTTTGTTATAACAGAAGGTTGAAAGTGGTTCTTATCGGGTGAAAATTGTACTTAACTAATTTTATGTTATCAGTTTGCACACCCCTGGACTCAAGGTGCTTAAAGAATCACTCTATCTTTGAATTTCGTATTCTTAACATATAACTAAGCTTTTTTATCCAAATTTAACTGAAAACGGCTCATAAATAAAACACGGTAATCAAGGATTTATTTGATTTGAGAAAAATCAGGGGAAAAGAATTTTATATCACATGTCCCACTCGAACCCTGATTGTTAAAATTAGTTATAAATCGGAAAGAGTCAGAATAAAGCTCAGGGAAACAGAATGACAACAATGTAGTCAGACCAAACAACAGAGTTTTAATCTAAAGTTTCCCTAACAAGTCATAAAAGAAAATCAATTACCTGGAACCATGATGCAAGAACCCCAAGCAATCATGAACTCTTGAAGAAAATCTAAAATAAATTCCTGCAGCAGCTCCACTTCGAAGGAGAAGCACAAGTTTCTCCACTAATTTAGATGCAGATAACATTACTCCAGCTCCTTGAAGTAGGAAAAGCGGAGAGAAAATAACTGGAAGTGGTATATATACAGCAGAAGCAGGTGTTCCCTGAAATGAACAACATCTCAGATCTCCAAAAACAACATTCCCAAGGCTGACCAAGCACACAATTCCGTATCATATACCTCTAGATGCATACAGAGAAGAACCTGGAATACAATAATTGGTACTTTCATGAAATGCCCCCCTATCTCTTGAAGGCTACAGATTCTCCCCTCGGATCGATTTTCATCCGTAGAAACCACTAAACCACTGTTCCAGTCAAGATATCTAATAGTAGTTGAAGATGAACTACTGGCTTCTCTTGAATTTCTATGAATTACAGGATTGGACCACTTTGTACATACAAGGAAAGAAAAGCATTCGGCGATACTGCAAAATAATAGATCATAAAACTTTATAAAACCTTCACAGCAGCATTCCAACAAACACAAGCTTAATTATAAAAATGCATGTTAGCACTAAATACGAAAGAAACTTACGCAAAGTTAATAAACAGGTCCCACCAACCGAGAGCACCTACATCACCTGTATTAGACAAGAAAAATGAAGCCAAATTATTTATTTGTATAACTAGGGCCGCCAGGGAAAGTATTGAAGAAGAATATAACAAAACATATTGTACACTACACAGCAGAATAAGACAAATTCCAAAAGGAATCATGAGATTAAACATTGCTACCGTGAGATGAAAAAATAATAATGACAGAATTTATAAAGAATAAGTGAAAGGGAATTTAGAGGGAAAATAGTTACCGCTCATTTTTAGGAGTGTGAAGACTGTTGCAGCAATGAAGAACACCATAGAAATAGCAACCCAAAAGTGCTGCCAAAACAATAACAAGAGTGTAACAAGGCTTTAGCAATTTCAAGTTATAAAATACTTTAATGATAAAAAGAGACAATTAAATAGCATACTTGAAGAGACATAACAAACATTACATGATTTCAATTTGACTCAAGCATAAATTGCAATCAAAAGATTTCCTAATTTTAATATTCTTTAACTATTTGGTGCATGTCACAATTAGAGTACTCCACTGAATTTCTGTGGCATGACAAAGATATCCACTCATGTAAACTAATGCAAAAAAAAAACCCTTTCTGTTAAACAATTTTAGAGTGCTAAAAAGTAGGATACCTGCAACAATTTATAACACTCAACTACAATTAAGTTTTTCAAAAAGGCAATAGCAGTTTCTCCACTGCACAATAAAATCAAATATTAATAGGGAAGAGCGTGGATACGGAGGTAATTGGTGATGGAAATGATGCTAAATTCACCACAATTTCACTCTTCAAACAATACTTTGAAAACCCACAACTTTCACACATTGTTTCCTGAATCCTTTCCTGATGCATTTTTACCATGGTGTGTATACTTAAATAAATCAGAAATACTGTCACTTTCCCCCATATAATCTATGACATAGACAGTGACAAAACTGTTGTTGAAGACTTGAGCAGCATTAAGTAGGAATCTCAAAGGCCTGAGCACCATTAAGTAGGAAACTTTTTGTTTCCTATTTTTCGAAGAAAAAAAATATTAGTTAAAAAATTGCTCAGCATGAGTACTTGTTGAAAATTCTTTTTAAAAAAAAATATAACTCCTTTCAGTTTTTTAAATCAGAAACCAAAATATTGTTAAGCTGTTTTAGTACTCTACTTTCAGTTATCTATTTCTCATATTCTTCCTTGAACTATCCCCTCTTCTTATCCCGCTCAAACACAACATAAGATTCCTTTGATTTGTATTTTTTAATTAGTTAGTTATATTAGAGAACCCAACAAAACACATGAAAAATATACTGATAAGAAGAAAACACTGCAGCTTATGCCTATTTTTTCTACAAAAAATTGATATAAATCCTTACCGGAAGAGTTTCCCATATTGCCTCGTCACTCAAGTTTTCTTCGTCCCCTGGCATTAGAGCCTTACACATCCTGCACATAAAATACAACATAGTTGGTTACAAATGACAGATGAATAATTGATGAATATGAGATCCTAAAATGAACGAATCATGCTGAAGGGGTTCACATTAATCTCTCCAGAACAAAGCACATCACATCATAACAAACCCAAATGTGCACATCAATGATTAAGACTTAAAAATTCCAAAGAAGTAAAATATGATGAAGAAATTCACTTAAGTAACTGGTCTACCAGATGTAAAGAATTCACAAAATTACTCATGTCAACATTGATTACTCTAACATTAGAGAACAACCCAAAAAGAAACTATGGTCTATTGGAGCTATTTAAAAGAAGTTACCTGAAATTGTCAATGAGAATAATGATTTCAAATGTTAGTAAGGGAAGAAACACTATCTTTAGATCAACTGCTGCATAGCCAAGATCTGTGTAAGAACAAAATACGTTAGTATAATGGGAGATTTTGCATCAATGTCACCACAGAAATTTAGCTCCTTTATTGCAAAAGAATTATTTCATTTACAGATGGCAAAATGCCCACGTTCCTATGGTTGGAACTTGTAAACTCCAAGCTAACCATATGAACAACCTGTAACTTAAACAAATATTTATTGAATACAGGAAAATAATTGGAAATTCTAACTACGCCACAATGAAAGCATACCATATATGCTCTCAAGATATATACAAAGGAGCAATTCGAATGCAATAAGCAACGGCGTTGCAACGACGGCATGGCATGGTGCCCACTGTCACAATATAAAAATTCAGTATCGTATTTAGTCGTGTCAACATTGTCATGGAAAAATAACAACTAGTTAGTTAGACAAGAAAAGGAAAACAAGGAGCACCCCAGTTTGAGTTTGTATGCTTTGATAGCAAAAGAACAATACACATATCATGGTTTCAAAGTCAAATGGCTCAATACTCAACTACTACGAGTAAACTAAAACTGAAAATAGAAACTGGCTTAAATTTCAGTTAAGAATGATGATGGCATACATTTCGATTACGTGGAGCAGATGGTGCAGGTAATGAAAACCTTCCTCGAGCCACAACACCATGGAACATCCAAAGAGGTAAAAATACTACCCTGTATATTAAAGGTGAATCAGTCATCAACAGTCACCATCTTCTCAGAACCTTATATACACCACACCTTTCCACACATCATTACGATCATAAAATTTCCATATTAATAAACTTCCCAGCACACCATGGCATACATTTTAGGACACCTTAACCTTTTTTTTCATTTATTTATGATTTTGCTAAAATATTACGAGTTTTAATGGATTTCCACCAAACCAACAACATAATATGTCCTTATACTGCATTTAATAATTTTGGCATTACAAAGCAATCATTTCAATTGAATCCCATAATAACTTCCAGATACTATTAATTTTTTGAAGCACGACATAACCTGATTATATGAAGCCACTTTACAATTCACCACCTATGGAGTCTTTCTAACCTCTCAACCTAAAGGTGGGCACCACTTTCATTAGTCAGGTGCTCATTTTCGCAGCTTACTAACTAACACGTAGGCATTATCCCAACTCCAATTGAACCAAAAGCTTGCACACTCCCTGACTATCTTGGTCTACCAATTATTATTTCACAATACCGAAGAGTACTTATTTTCATTCTAGGCCATTACTTTAGTACACAATCATGTTCGCCCCAATCTCCATTCTACCAGCTCAAACACATCCTACACCAAAGTAGAGATGGAGAAAGGAAACAAACTAACACTGGCAATAACCCCCAAGCACCACCTCTCAGGTAGCAATTATACCATTACAAAAATGGGTTCTACAGCGTCTTATCCTGAGCATAACTCTTGCAAATAATTTCAATAGTTAAAAAAACTGAAAAAAAAAAAAAAAACTAGAAAAAACTTTACACAGAACTTCCTCCCATGTCAAAAATCACCAACATTATCACTTTGTACTCTGCACGTGTTTCCAGGAATAGAAACACGTCTTTTTTTAAAAATCAGTTAATAGTAATACTGACACACCCCATATTCTTAGCAAAAAATTCAACCATGCAAAATTTAGGTCAATCATCAGAAGGCAAAACCAAAATCGAGTAATAATTATCACAGAACAAAACAGAAAAGGCATTTCATGAGGTCCCAAACCCAAATCTCCAAAGGAATAATAATAGTCATCATAACAGTAATCATAATAATAATAATAATAATAATACCAGTAATCATAATAATAATAATAATAATAATATTAATAACAATAATAAGAATAATATAATAATAAAGTAGGCAAATCGAAATTGAAGCGAGAATTAAAAGGGTAGAAGAGAATTGAGGAGTGAGGGGGGAGAAAAACCAACCACCAAGAACAAGAGAGATCGTGATCAAGTTTGAGAACGAGGAAGAGAGTGAAGCACAACAGGAAGGTGTGCGCGGCCAGGGCCTGTGCTGAGTTCAACACCCTGCGCCAGCTCATCTTCCCAACCTCCTTCCTTTTCCTTTCTGATCGATTGATATCTTAAAACAAACACCCCCCAGAAACCAAATCTCAATCCCAAAACCACAAAAAAACAAACAACCCTCACAGAATTTATGCAAGCACTTGGTGGACACAACAACCCAACAATAAACGAAAAAGCCCTAGCTTTGTTTCCGATGAAAGGAATTTTGTGACTGAGTGAGACACAGTCTAGTAGTGGGATGAATTTCTAAGTTGAAAGATGAAAATGAAAACTCAAGCCTTCTTTTGGGTCACGATCAAAGAGGAAAGCAAACATTCGTTTCAACACAGTTCATTATAACATTTTTCTTTAATGTTAGCACATATAATATTTCATATATAATATATATACTTTTTTATGCTAACTTTAATTTCGTTAATCAACTACGTAGGAAAAATACTGTTTTTTTTAATTTTAAATCATTTAATAGTAATGCTATGATAACATTTACCTAATTTAAATAAATTCCAAAATAAAAACGTTATCAATATTATGAAGACTAAATAGAATGAATCCAAATCCACTCATTAAAATACTGTTCGTTCTTTTTCATTTAGCCGCTTCTTTTCTTCTGTTCACGTTCTTTATATTTTTAGATTATTTACCAGATTTTTTTCATTATTAGTTTTTTTCAATTATGTTAAATAAATGGAAGTTAAAATATGATGCTAATGTGAAGTAATGAGTGATCTGAATCCGCAATCACACGCTAAGCAAAGTATATTATTATAATAAAGGCTTAGGTTTAGGGTTTGTTCACTCTTGTAATTTCCAATAATTACGACATAAAAGACATAAGCAGCTTCTACTGTATCCATCCAAAACATGATAACAGATGATATCTGACAGAGTGGTTGGGAATGCAATAGAAGAGGCCAAATGAGACAAAATTCCATGATATCAATAATGTCACAATTTCATGACCCACGAGCTTCCCTTCTAATGTTCATCTTTTTTGTCCTTTTTTTCTTAATTAATCCATTGAAAATCATTGCTGAGATACTTTTAATATCACTCTCATAAAAAACGATAGAAATAACGCATATGTTCACTTTGTTTAAAATGGTGTAGTTTTTAATTTTGTAAGCTGTATTTTTTTATTTTTTAAAATATATTTTTCAACTCTTTTGTAGAAAGGTATTTTATTTTATTATTCTTTAGGCTTGAAAGTTTTGTTGTAGTTACTTTACACATAACATATTATTATTTATATCGTACGAATATAGTATAAATGCCTTTTGAGTAACCAGAACGGAAGTAGGAAATTAATGCTGGTGAGAATAAACGAGAGAGTTTATTTATTGGGACTTGCATGAATTTTCAATGATGCATTTAAGGAAGAGAGGCACCATTGTACTCTTTCGTTTGTTTTTAACGATGGATGGGTTTGAGGGAGGGTGAATAGATATATTTTAGAGAATTATGATATTGTTTGTTTGTAAGTATGAAGAGGTAAAAAAGAAAAATTTTGAAGAGAAAATTTATGAAAATTAGGGAATGATGTGATGAATGTAATAGATAATTAAATGTTTTAAAAAATTAAAATATAATATTATAATTTTATTTTTATGGTAAAATTAATATAAAATAAAATCTAATTAGTTAAAATTAATGTAAAATAAAATATGGATAATTATGTTTTAAATAAAAATAACAATAAGAATAATTATTATTATTATATAAAAATAACAA